TTAAAGAAGAATAAAGTTGGAAGACTCAAAATTTCAGATTTTCAAGTTTACTACAAAGCTATAGTAATTAAAATTTTAAAACATGGAATAGAGAGCCCAGAAATAAACCCTTATATATATATATATGCTCAATTCATTTTCAATGAGATTGCTAAAACTATTCAATGGAGAAAGGATGGTCTTTTCAACAAATTGTGCTAAGAAAATTGGGTATCCACATGCAAAAGAATAAAGTTGAACCCATACTTTATATCACATACAAAAATTAACTCAAAATGGATCACAAACCTAAATGTAAGAGCTAAAACTATAAAATGTTTACAAGAAAATATAGGGGGAAAGATTCATGACATTGGATTTGGCGATGATTCTTGGATATGACACCAAAGGCACAGGCAACAACAACAAAAGAACATAAACTGGTCTTCATTAAAATTAAAAAATTTTGTGCATCAAAGGACATTATCACTGACTGAAAAGATAACCCACAGAATGGGAGAAAACATATGCAAATCATATATCCAATAAGGGATTAATGTCTAGAATATACAAAGAACTCTTACAACACAACAACAAAAAAATCAAACCACCCAATTCAATTATCAGGGAAAAGACTTGAACAAACATTTCTCCAAAGAAGATACAGAAATGGCCAATAAGTACATGAAAATATGCTCAATATCGCACTAACCATTAAAGGAAATGCAAATCAAAAACACAATGAGAGAGCATTTCACACCCATTAGGATGGCTATTACAAAAAAACATAAAACAGAAAATAACAAATGTTGGCAAGAATGTGGAGAAATCTGAACATTTGTGCATTGCCTTACTTTTCCCCTGCAGTTAAATTCTACTGAAAATATCCCTCCCTTGTCAGTGATAGAAATGATATATACTATAATGATATAATTGGCAAGTCATCTGTATGTTTACATATTTATTTATTTATTTAAGAAGCCCATACAAAGATTTAATTAATTTGACACTCACCTAAATGTATCTCCTTATTAAATAATTTACTTAGTTTTACTTTACTATCCCCCATTTTCCTATGCTTCCTCTCTCTCTAATCAAAATATCCTCCACAAAACGCCTCCAAAAACAACCTGAATCTCCAATTCATTTACATATAACAACATAAGACCACAGAGCACACGACACTTATATAACCCCAAACATTGGGATGTACTTCCCATTATCATTCCACTAAAGTAGTATGAAATTTCTGCTACTACATGAAATAAAAATCAACCCTAAAACCTCATAAAATAATAATTTTCCAATTTGTAAATTATTATTTATGCCCTTTTGCCTCAAGATTCCCTTTGAGTCCTTTTATTGGTCATTCTAACCACAGGAAATAATCAAGAAAAAAGTGAAAACATGATTTTACCAAACTTGCTCATTATCCTAGAAAAGTATATGGTGGAAGAAAAGGTTAAAATGATTTAGTGAAAGTGGGGTTTGGCTTATTGTGTGAGATTTCTTTATTGTGTTTTACATTCAATCATCAACACATATTGGTTGGGTGGTGAACAGCACCTTAAATTTAGTACTAATTTTATAGTGCCATTCCTACAAAATCTGTTAATAAAAGGGATGAAAAATAATAAGTAACGATCAATTTAACTACTTAAACTAAATAAAAATTTCTAACATATTTTTCAAAAGTTTCCATGGAGTATAGTGAATCTCCACATGGACACTATCATGTTCTGTATCTCAGCAACCTTAAAAGGTGTTAATGAGCTACTGAATGAATAGAACAAGTCCCATTAATTAATCATAAAGGAGACAAAAGATATAATTATCAAACTATTTCAACTCAATTTACTGTTTATCAGAATGTTACTATTAAAACTACTATTAATCATTGCTAATCTCAGATTGGCTAAAGAAATATCAATTTTTCACATATAATTCTTTTTTTTCTTCCTCCTCCCTGCCTCCTCACATATAATTCTTAAAATATTTATTGTTTACAAAATTCTTTAATCCCATAAATCATGTTGGTTTACAGTTTTACCAAAAGGAATAATGTCTAAATTTTACCTTGCCATGCATATTTCTTCCCATTCAAATCAATAGCAAAATCTTCAGGATAGAAGTCAATTATACTTGAATCCTATATCAGAGAGAAAAGTAGACAATCAGAACAGAAGTCACACGTCTCTGTTATAAAGAATTTAATTTGACTTTCATTCGTTATCAGGCCTGATGAGGAAACTAAGTACATTCCTTTTAAAAAATGTTATTAAGATATGAGATCATTCATCCCAAGTCTACTAAAACAAAATTAAGAATTGTATTTTAAAAGATGAATAGAAAAGGCATTACTGTAGAAGAATTTTAGAACTGACAACTATAGGCCTCAGGCAAGCAGAGTTATTTACCCTAACAATTAACCTCCTGGCTGGGTCTCACTCTTTCTAGCTAGCAGAAAACAAGTTCATAGATGATTTAGTTAGGTAAGCCAGTCTTCTGAGCTCTGGCAGCCACCATACATGGCTGGAACAAATAAAAATAAAGACTCACAGGTAAGCTGGGAATAAAATGACTGTTACAACAACTACTCCCAAACATGAATTTTATTTTCTGGTAGGGTACTGCTGGCCAAAGAAAGCAGGAAAAAAAAATATGTAGTGAAAAAGATACATAAGAACTCAAATGTTTTGTTTCTGTACTTCACTATTTTAAATATGAGATGCAAAATCAATTGTGAATAAAGTTAATAAAATATCTGACTAAAATCCAGTTACCCCACACACTCAAAATACTAACACTCACGGGATCACTCATGAGCTTCCGCCATGATGGAGGTAGAAAGTTACCACTTGCAGCTGGAAAAACTCCCATAAGTTGTTCTAGTGGTTTAAACTGCAAGAAAGAAAAAATGTTAAAGGCCTAAGATTATTACCTAATCCAAAATTATATAAATTTTATGACTTTAAATAATCAAGCTTACCGGTTTTGTACCCTTCTCAAAATCAGATGGCATGTCTGCAATACCTTCAAAGTCTGAAGCAAATGGTGCATAATGGAATGGATAATACCACTTCCAGGAAGCACAGCCCTACAGTCATTAGAAAAACAAACAAAAACAACAAAAACCTATGTTAACGATGGACACAATGGAAAAAAAGAAATAAAAATTAGACTATTAACCTATAATGTTCTTTTCATAAAACATAAGACTTCTGATATATATTCCATATATTGATTTTTTCCATGAGTCCTAAAAATTATTTTGATTAAATCTGAACTTTCTATTTCATATCAATGGCTCCTTGGCTTAAAAAATACTGCAAAGCATCTTTAATAATGAGCAGTTAATGCCTTTATGTCCACAAACACAATCTGGTAAAGATTTTTATCCTTAAAATATATTTGGTGACAGTTCTTTCCAACTCTAAAGCTGCCATCATCAAATAAAACCAACAGAAGTTACAGTTAACATTTACTGAGCATGTAGGTGGTTGATGACATTACTGAAACAGTGGTTGACAGTAAAACTGCCAAAAGTTTCACTTTACAATTCACTATTACATTTTCATATAACATTCTCTCGACTATAAAAGTATTTGAGTAAACACATGGAAAAGAAAACAAAAGCAAGTTATACTCAGAAAAGAGATGTCTTTCTGACATGTGTTCTAACTCTATGCCCAGTTAATTAAAATCTTGATAGGAGTAAAACATGCAAATAAAATATTTTATAGTCAATACTTGGTGCATTGTGTTATTTTCCCCTTACTGACAAACTCCATCTATCCCCAAGTCATACCAAACTTAACTTGGTTTGCTCTCTGAGCACGAAACCAGATGTTAACTATCAGTGATACAATCCCCAAAATGTCTCCCTAGTCTTGCAACAATCTGACATCTCAGTTACCAAAAGGTACAGATTCAAAATACTCCAATTTTAAATATTAAAAACAAATATTCTCATGGAGACAGAGAATACAATGATGGTCACCAGAGGCTGGGAAGGGTAGCAGAGAAGCAGGGATAAAGTAGGGGTGGCTAATGGGCGCAAAAATATACTTAGATAGAATGAACATTATTTGACAGCACAACAAAGTGACTAGAATCAACAATAAATTAGGGTATGCTTTAAAATAACTAAAAGAGTAGAACTGGAATGTTCCTAGCACAAAGAAATGTTAAATGCCTGGGGTGGTGGATACCCGAATTATCCTGATTTGATTAATTCAGACTGCATGCCTGTGCCGAACATCACATGTGCCCTATAAAAACATACGACTATTACGTATCCATAATAATTAAAAATAAACTAAAAAAAAAACTTCATGTAACATCACCCTATTATGGAGAGGACGGTATCATTCAAATTCTTATTGGTATTTTCTAGCCTTTGTCCTTTGTTCAGTCATTTAGTGATTGTCAATTATCCAGTTATTTTTAAATTCCAATTAAAAAACACTTTAATCATCTTAAAGACAAAGTACAGTCAACCCTGTACTTGATGCTGAAAAATCTTTTAACAGCAAACATAGTTTTGTTTATATATTAATACCTAAGGAGCTTCAGAGTCTTTGTGAACAAGTATTATTATTATAAATTTCTGAACGGGAAGCTTAAAACATGAGTCTGGGTTTTATTTCAGGATACAGCTCAATAATACATATTATTATAGAAATAGCTATCTTTCTAAAAGATCACCTCCAGAGTCAGAGAAAAATATTCTTTTTGTACCTGGTAATAATATCGAAGAACCCAGCAAAGTCCTTCAACATAAGACTGTACAACTTTACGACGGAATTTCTCATCAGCCGCATCAACATCAAATTTGTTCTTATAGTACCGCTGCTTCCAACCAGCTTCCCATAACCTAAAAACCAGGCAAAGCCAGTTTATGTTGAATTAATACACTTTGAGTAATAGAATGTCTACCAATTTATATCCCAAATCAATTTATATTTAATATCTGGAGAAATGTGAATGAGTTAAACAGTAATGCTAACAGAGATTCATTTAATAATTATTTATAAAAAGCCTACTTTCAGATAATTTATTATCAACTTAAAGACAGTTAAACATTAAAAACACAAACACTGATTTTGGTAAGGCCATTATAAAACTACTTTTTTAAAAAAATTATTAAAACAGATACAAAACACTTGTTTGCTCGAATTTTAATACTGCTTTACATTTTTTTATTGTACAAGTCTAAAAGTACATTAAGAGTCAAATACTGAAGATATTTCACACAGTTCCAGTTCCTCAGTCTGTTAAAATATATTCAAACGATACAAAGAAAGTCAACTAAATTACTTTAAAAACATACTTGAACAGGTTAATTTTTTTAAATGTGAAAAATGGTTTATAAAAGAATAATGTAGGAACTAGGCAGAAATTGTGTATACCTATTCTGTCCTTGCTTGGGCCTTTATCCCTCTTTCAGCTGAAAGCTATTGATAGCTTAAGGAAAGGAGACAGAGATATACATACAGAAGAGATACACATTCTGTATCTCTATATATCTATGCACATATATATGCATGTATCTATATTATCTATACACATATATGCACACATGTATGTATGTTCTGGTAAAGCCTAGAAGTAGCTCAAATAATCCACTAAACTACCATTAATCACTGCAAATACAATGTAAAGAACCACATTTTCACCCAAAGTATATGTGTTTTTAAGTACTCATTTTTCATTCTCTAAAAAATTTAAACATTTAATGAACATGAAGAAGCCAAAGAACATTTAAAAAAATGAAGGAGGACAGACCAAGAACATCAAGATGATTCTCCATTAAGGGCTCTTTTCCACATGTGCCAGATCTCACAAATAATTGCAGTCACGTTTGAGAATATACCATACCAATTTTAATCCCCCCTACAAACACACACATTCATGGAACAATAATTAAGAGAAGGATCCTCTATCTATAACGTGAAGTATCACTGTATTACAGACAATATAAATGAAATAAATGCTAAGAGCCCTCAAGCATTTCTTGGTAGAAGCATTTCTGCTGTGATTATCCTCAGCACCAGGACTAAACAATAAATTACTAAAATCATGCTACCTATTAAACTAGTATTGATCATGGTAGCTACATAGTGAAGTTTCCAATCATAAACACAAACCACACACTTTCCATGTCCTATAAAGGAAGCATGAGCTGTAGGCGACTACTGTCTTCTTTACCTTTGAAATAGATGATTTTCCTGAATTCTTAATGAGCTACAATTATTGAGATTGCTGCCTTTTGTATTTGGAATCCAAGGTTGAAATCTGAATTGCATGAGAGGCTGTTAATCTTATTACATAATAATCTTGAACTTCAGGGTCAATTAAAGAATCAAAGTTTCCTATTATAAATCTTAAGTATATAGCAAAAGGAAAACTCCTCTGTCATGAAATACAACTGTTATTGTGCGTATCCAAGTTTGTGGTTTTTAAAATATATATATATAATCTCTAAACAGAATGACTTTTGCATATTTCATTTTGAGGAAAAACCTTTTCAATTGAGAAGATTAAAGCAAACTCTATTAAGTGTCCAAGTGTAACTGAACTTTGTAGGTTAAGCAGCTTGAAAATTTAATCTCCAAACAGTAACATTCAGATCACATAGTGAGAGCTAAACACCTCATGTCTAGCCCATCTAGTGCCTGGTCTCAGAGGAAAAAGTGGCTTGGAAGATGAAAACCTGCACGCATACTAATCTAGATACTTAGGTTTAACAGCTATAGCTTACATATCTCACTGGAATTTACTGACTATTCTAACCCTCTACATTAATTACTGGTGGATAAAAAGATCACAGGCAAAGCATCTGAAGGCACTGCTGCTCTAAGCTAAATAGCATTAATTAGACCGCATCTATTTCAGCAATTTGCTAACAAAGTGCTACCAAAAAATGGCATCACCTGACATTATCCTCTGGCTCAGGTTCACTGTCACTGTCTTCTGCTTTTCGCTTAATTCCTCCTATTGGAGATGGGGAACCATCAGATGTGAAACTCGTATTAGGTGATATTGAAGGACTCTGTAGACAATTATGACATTACAGAAGAAGGATTTCATTATTCATTTTACATAAGAAAGTACATCCAACCACCATTACCTACCCTGTTTCACAGTAACACATTTTTTT